AATTATAAATTTTCAAGTTTGAATATATTCTTTCTATTATAAAGGCCACTTAAAGGACAAGATCTTGTATTTTATAAGATTATAGCAAATAAAATATCAAATGCCGATTAATGATAAGAAAGGTTTAATATTGTAATATTTTATTGATTTTATTATTTATGCGTGTAATGAAATAAATTTTAACTTTTTGCTTATATTATTAACTTCTATACACATATAAATAAAATGTAATCAATTATGTTATTAAACAATAAAAAATGATTTTAAGAATAAAATCATTTTAAATACATATATTGAGCTGTGTAACTAATTTTTGAAATATTATTTGTTAATAGATGAAACCCCAATATAACTTGTATTATATAATTTTAGAGATTCTTTAATCCATTATACAGCTTACACCATCCAAAATTACTTTTATCCACCAACTACCATAAATGAATTTATTATTATTGTGAATGTATAAGGAAAATGTATCTGTCATTTCATATATCATGAACAATTGCCTTAGACTGAATATTATTAAAGCTTAGAAAATATTTTAATATAATATCATACACTGAATCATGTATCTAAGAAAAATACCTAAATTATTTATTTATTTTTCAACAGATATATTTGTAGCAATCAATGTGTAAATCAAAAGTCAATTGAAATTATCTGTACTTTGTTAAATATACATATATGTATATTATAATGTGGCACATAATTCTATTATTTATGTTATATTCATTAATGAATTTCATTATATCAATATAATAAGCGTTCAGACGTTTTTAAACAATAGTTTTCTTATTTATAATAACATGAGAGTATTAATACTTTGCCTGAATATGATAAATATATTTAAGCATATATTAGAGTATTTTTTAAGGTATACATTGCAATAGAGATCTAGCCATTGATAGCTAAGATACTTTAGTTTAAGTATATTGAAATTATAGTGCAATAACAAATATCATAGCATACCTCCATATTTTTAACACTATTTGGAAAATATATGCAATAATGAAATTACGAAAACATTTTCAAATTGCAGTTATGAAGTAAAAATAAAAAGTACATACATTTTGTGTCTAAATGATATCAAAATTTTACAAATATAAAAAATAAATTGAACTCAATAATATAAACATCAATAATTTTTGTTCTTTGTAATTTCCATAAAAGTATTTCACAAATTACATATCTAAATTTTTTATTTGGAACTATAGATATATAATATGTAAGATATTACATATTAATATATATGATATATTATATATCAATATCATATATTATATATTACATATTACATATTACATATTATATATATTTAAATATCAAATTTATGTCCAATTCTATTTGTCAGTATTTTCCTTTTTCCGTTTTCCATTCACTGGCAGAGTACATTTACATGCCTTGTTTATTACACAATTAACTTATTAAAATATGGTTTTAATTTTATGGGAAGCTCTTGTTTTTTTCATACTTTAAATATATGAAATAGTCCATCATACCTTTCAATATTTAATTCATATAGCAAAATTTAGTATAAGATCATCTTTTTTGTACATTGATCAAGAAATCAAATTTCAATAATACATATAAATTTTTTGAATCAGACTTTCAATAAACACTTTTTTAAATAACCACACTAAATTATATATTAAAATCATGCAAACTTTATGCAAATTTTTATTCTTTAAATTTTATGTAAATAATATTTAAATTTGTTAGCATAGAAGATATCTTTTACAAATCACGATAACAAAAATAGTATTTGAGATTCATGCTTGTTCTTTTTGTAATATAACTTCCTACGTTCTTCATCATAGAACTACAATGAAGAGAATTGAACTAACATTTGTTGAAATGTTGTTGTTCCAACTGTAGTAGACATTTGACTAATACTGTTGAATAAAGCTTCTGCTTGTAATGTTTCTGGCAACCGAGTAAGAAATTGTGCTCCATGTACAAAATCCATCTTTAATAATTCTTCTTGATATAGATGCAACACACCAAGTGCTGTTCTAAAGAGGAATTCATCCCCATCTCTAAGAAAAACATCCCAGATCCTACATGCAACATCCAGAGGCATTGCTTTTGCATATATAGTATATAACCAATCTAATAAATACAAATCTGGGCTAAGACCAGCTACAGTAAAATGAGAAAAAATTTTTGGTAGCTTATGTGCAAGTGCACTAGAATACACTTTGTAATAAATATCCATTTGTTTCTGGTTTAATGTAAAAGCAGCTCTGTGACAAGGATGATTTAATAAATTAGCAAAACAAGTAAAAGCATCTGGAGGTTCCATGTTCAATGATAACACTGCACCAACAAAACTCATACCTTGTACATAACCTACATCAGGTCTATAAACTGCATAGGCTGCTAAAATACCTTGAAGACTATGAGATAGTGGTCCACCTTCTTGAAAGACACATAAAGTTGGAAAAGTACGAAATACATCTAATTTGATTGCAGCTAATGTTTCACTTAAAGGACTTGATATTGCTCTATCCAAACATATATTGTAAAGATGTGTTGTAATATTTAAATTATTTGGAATTGCTAGTTTCCACACTTTGCCACGAATACTGGGTGGAAGACCACGCCACCATAATTCACGTACTTTTCTTCTGTTTTTAACATTCTCAAATTTAGGAAGGATGTGTACATTCCAAGTATGAGAATCTTCTGCTAATCTTTCTTCTTCTTTAAGTTGCAGTTCTCTTTGGTGTTTACGCTCTTTTTCTTCTTTCAATTCTCGTTTCCTTGCTGCTTCTAAAATAGCACTATATTGCTTACGATGACGTTCTTCCTCAATTGCATTTTTAGCTGGTAGATTAGCTGGTCTTGGCTGTTGAATTAAAGCTAAACTTCCTCCTACCTTATCTATGTTTCTTGATGGACTACTTGCAGGTGTAGATTGTTGAGAATCTTTGTTTTTCCACGAGAATACATTTTTTGAAAAAAGTGTATTTAGTCCCCAACGTTTAGATTTTTCAATTCTTTCTGTAACTTGCTGGTCATCGGAACCTAGAAAACTTCCAGAAGGAGACACTTCGCTAAGGGAAGACACAGTACTGCTACAAGAACGTGGTAAACTGTTTCTAGGGCTACTGCTTGCACTACCACTTTCCACTCTTGTATACTTATCTTCATCAACTTTGAAATTGTCATTTAAAGATTCTTCCTTATAATCACAAGGAGAATCTAAATATTGAGATTTACAATCCAATTGTGATTCATTAGATTCTTCTAAAGAATATATTTGCTTTGTTGTAGGGTTGTAAGCTAAAGACATGCTTTCCAATGCATGATTTAAACTAGTCCCAGCAACTCCTACAGAAACTATATTGCCTGCATCATACCATTTATTTTCTCGAATATGGACACATAATGCCTTAGTTTTTATAGCAGGCACAGAAGCTACATCACATGCCAAAGCTTCATTAATATTTACACTGTTACAGGATATGGAACTTCCATTCAATGACACTAACTGTTGTTTACCAATTTTTGGAACAATATTATTTGCAATGTAGCAATTAGAATCTCGTCCAGCAACTTTTAGTACTTGATAATTGTTAGATGTATTTCCATAACGAGACACAATACATGGAGATATATTTTGTGATGAAACAGGATTATGATTATTCCCATTTAAATGATTAGACACGGGATTCTTCATGATTGAAACCCGTTTTCTAACCTTAATATATTCTAACCTTAATATATTTCTTCAGTGAGGGCAGACCAATAGGAAATTAAATTTTCATATACAATATTTGTGGATATATATTTATACATATTTTTTTCATTACTTTTTAATAGTATTATATATATACATCATCGATATTCGCAAGCATATCGATGTTACGATGGAACAACACCCACATATAAAATCTGTTACTTTTGACATGTTTTTTACATTATAATAGTTGCTGTTGATAGGTAACTGCTACCTTATCAACTCTATTCTGTCATAAAGACAACTAAATTCCACTTATATAATTTATCAAATTATATGTGGCAAAACTGCCTTTAATTTTTATATTTGTAATTCTTTGTAGTTTAATTCAATGTATCATAAGAAATAAAAAAAGAGTACATGTTATTTTCACACAAGAACAGTGATGCACAGTAGTATAAAATGATACAATTCCATTAATAAACTGTTTAACATAAAGATACTGTGATTCTGTACAAGAAATTTAACACTAACTTGAAATTGACAAATATATATACGTTTAGCGATTTAAGAAACAGAAATTTTATCTTTTCTCTTTTTTCTTATATGCACAATGAATAGAAATAATACTTTAAATTGATAGTTTAATTAGAACAAAAATATTTTAACTTTTAGTAATATACTAAAGCCAAACAAAATTTTTTTCGTGTGTGCTCACTAACACTGATCTCTACCACTGCGACAGGAATGAAATCACGTGATTGTACAATCGTTCTTCATTGTTAAATTGATAGCAGCAGCTTTTTTATTCTTATACACAAATTGATTTAATTTATATATTATATTACTGCTAAGTACACCTTAAAATGTCGGCTTATAATTTTATATAGTATAAAGAATAACGAAATCACATTTAGTATATACATTTAGTATATACAGCATTGAAGTTAAAATATCTTTTGTATTAATAAACATAGTAATTCTATATAGAAATTAAAATTAAAATAATAAATAAAATAAAAATACATGCTTTTTTGAAAATTATTGCTTAAAAATATAAAATTTTAATGTATATTTGATCATTATTGGTGGCTCAAACGATTTCAATTGTAATTCAATATTTATTACTTATAAACAGATTATAAATTGCAATAAATTAATTTTAATCTAGTATTTACAACACACTCTAAATTTATTTTAGGTAATTATATCTAGTGACATTATAATGTAATAAAGGTCAAATGAAAATGAAAAGATTTTACATAATCTTTGTAGTTGAAAATTGTACTTTAACTTGCAGTAAAAATCCCTAGAACGTTTATGTCAAAACAGCTGATTGCAGAAATTAATGAAAACGAAAATTCATATTAATTGAAAAGCTGGAAAGTAGGTTAAAAAAGGTCAAATATTAGTCGCGTCATTGTCAAATTTCATTAAACGATAGTGATTATTTCAGTGAAATATAATTGTTAAGTGTGAATTTTTCAACATAGCAGATGTTTATTGTAAGAAATGTCACAAATTGATATCCAGGATTTATTTGATAAAAGCAGGTAAAATAATCATTTGTAAACAATAACTTTAAATAATGTTTTGTGAATAATAATAGTGTTCGGAAATTTTTTTTAATGGCAATTATAATTTTACTTTTAATAGTGATATTGAAATAAATATATTTCGAATTTTGGAATAATTAATTTTTACTACTAACATATGGACACAATATAAATACATAAAAATATTATTCTAACTTGATACTTCTAAGAAATTAAAAATGGAATGTATAATTTGTATATAATATTTTAATTAATACAGAAACATAATATTAATATTAGCTCATGAAATATATAGAAATCTGTTTGTATATAACAACATATATTGCACAAGAATAGTTAAAAATATATTTTTATTTTATATGTGTACTTGTTTCACAACAAACTAGATATAAAATATCATAAATAATTAATCTAATTTTTATTGCTCTTAATAATTAATTTAAATATAATTATAACATTAATGTTAAATATATTATTTAGGTTTCCCAGTGGTTGGCGTCTCGTATTTATATTTTTATATACTCCAGTGGGTCTTCTATTAATATTGCTACGATTATTAATTGCCCTACAACTTTGGCTCATTTCAATATTGCTACCTGATTGTAATATTCTTCGAACATTCTTAAGTCATGGATTTAGTTTTGCTTTTGGTATTATGGTAAAAATTTCTGAAGGTCAAGTTAAAGACAAGCAATCAAGGATTATAATTACAAATAATGTCTCTGTCCTGGATCATTTTGCTTTATATAAAGCTACACAAGCATTAACTCCTACTATCTGGGAAATACCTACTGCCATGAGCAATGCACTAGGTTTACAAATGATGGACATGAGTAGTAAAGAAGCTCTAATTGCCAATATGAAACAATTTCTCTCTACGTCAAATTGCAATATTGCAATACAACCTGAATTTGGTATAACCAATAGTCGTGTAGCCTTGTTAAAGTTTAACTCTTGGCCATTTACTATAGAAGCATCTGTTCAACCAGTTGCAATTAAAGCATGGAGGCCAGAATTTATACCTATTCATCTTACCTCATTGGCATCTAGATGGTGGATAGATGTTTTTTGGTTTATGTTTGTTCCTTATACTGTCTTCACATTTAAGTACCTGAAAATCAAGCAAAATCCAGATTGTGAAGTACTAGTACGGGAAGTGGAAAAAGACATAGCAACTTGTCTTGGACTTCAAACAAGTTCTCATACTGTATCAGATAAAATAGAATTTGAGAAACGTTATATTATGGAGAGAACACAAAATAGGAGATTTGATAGAAATTCTCCAAATTCACAAGTTATACATAACCTTGAGATTCAAAGGATGGTTCGACAAGTCAGTGAAGTGCTTCCATTAGTTCCACATAATGTGATTCTTCGAGATCTTTGTACGTAAACAAATAACTATTATTAATTTATACATTATATTAATAACTTTTTATTTTGAAACTCTAATTCATTGATGTTTATTTTAGTGAAAACACGCAATGTTGACATTACAATTGCCAATATATTGGATGGCATAGTTACTTATACTCCAGATTCATCTCAAACTGTTACACGATCAGCATCGTTAAATCAATTACAAAAAAATACAGTTAAAGATAACAGTAATCTAGGATCTTCTTCCTTCCAGGAAAGAAAAGCTAAAATGATAAGGGAAGCAAGGGAAAGGTATATTCAAAAACATGGACTCAAAAATTGCTGACATTCTTATTGCAGTTTTATTCTGGTTATTATATCTTCATTGATTACAAATATCTAATGTTTTTCTGTATGTGTATGTGTATTTACTATTACATACTGTGAATATAATTTTATTTCAAAAATACAATTGTATATTTTTACAATATCCTATCCTTTTTGCATGAATATTATACTATTATTGCAAAAAGCACACTTTGGAAGACAGTATTTTCAATTAATTTATATTTCGTACACTATTAGTATTAATTTTTGTAAGTAAAATGAACTTCTTTTATATGTTAATTGTATATAAAAATAAACATATACTGCATTCTTTTATGAATTCTTTATTGTGTTTATTAAATCTCTCTATATATAGCATAAAATTTATAATCTGCAGCATAAAAATTAATAAAATATCAGAAAAAAATATATAAAAAATACAGTAAATTTACATTTCATTACTTATATTATTTGTAATATTATTGTAACTTATAAACTACTGGAAGACATTTAGATTCATAAATAGTACATTATGTAAATATATTACTGCATAATTATATTGAAGTAATATATTCACCAAAGATATTTAAAATTTCGACTTATTTTAGTAATTATAAAAATAATATTAAAGAATTATATTAAAGTAATATATTCGCCAAAGATGTTTAAAATTTCGACTTATTTTAGTAATTATAAAAATATAATATTTCTGAGCATTTTAGTTTGAACAAAATTGATGTAATAGTAATGAAAGTAAGTGATATAATTAAATTAATATTTTTTAATATCCCTTAATATTCTCTTATTTTTATTATACTAGATAATTTAAATAAACTACTCTACAAAATACTCATTAATACTTAATATTTCCAATACATACATATTTTATTTCAAGAAAATCATCAATACCATGCCTAGAACCCTCTCTTCCTAAACCTGATTCTTTAACACCTCCAAAAGCAGCTTCTGCAGTGGAAATAATACCTTCATTTATCCCAACCATTCCAACTTCTAATTTCCTTGCTACCCTAAATATCTGTGATATATCTTGGGAATAAAAATATCCAGCTAAACCAACAGGTGTATCATTAGATTTTTGAATAACTTCATCTTCAGTTTCAAACTTATGAATAACAGCTACTGGACCAAAAATTTCCTTGTTATATATTTTCATTTTCTCAGTAACATTTGTTACAAGTGTAGGAGCATAAAATAATGGTCCTAACTCAGGTAATGGTGTACCACCACAATGTACTTTTGCTCCTTTTTGTATAGCATCAGTAACTAATTCATGTACCATATTTAATTGACTTTCTTTAATGAGAGGGCCATGTGTAGTCTCTTTATTACTACCATCACCCATTTTAATTTCACTTTTAATTTTTGATAAAAACATTTCTACAAATTGATCAAATTTAGCACTTTGTACAAAAAACCTATTTGCAGAAACACATGTCTGACCAGAATTACGAAATTTACTTGCCATAGCACCTGTTACAGCTAAATCTAAATCTGCCGAATTAAAAACAATAAATGATGCATTGCCTCCTAATTCAAGACTAAGTCGTTTTATATTTGAAGCACACTGTTGATATAAAATTTTTCCAACAGCTGTTGAACCAGTAAATGATAAAACTCTAACATTAAAATTATTACATAGTTCTTTACCAACAGCAGGAGAATTTTTTGTACTTGTTGTAATTACATTTAATGTTCCACGAGGAAAACCTGCTTTTTCTGCAAGATCAGCTAATGCCAAAGCAGTAAGAGGTGTTTCCTCTGATGGTTTAATTATACATGTGCATCCAGCAGCAAAAGCAGCAGCTGCTTTACGTGTAATCATAGCATGTGGAAAATTCCATGGTGTAATTAAAGCAGCAACACCTACTGGATGTTTATATAACAGAAGTTTTCTATTAGGTAGTGGTGGTTGTATTATTTCTCCTTGAATTCGTCTAGCTTCTTCTGAAAACCACTCAACAAATGAATTTCCATATTTGATTTCAGCTTTAGATTCAGCAATAGATTTTCCATTTTCTTTGGTTAAAATAACTGCTAAGTCTTCTGAATGTTTTACCAGCAAATTGTACCAATTTCTAAGTAAGTCACTTCGTTCCTTTGCTGTTGTTTTGCTAAATAACTCAAAAGCTTCCAGTGCTGCATTAATTGCTAATTTAGTATCTTCAACATTCATGTCAGGAACATTATTAATAATAGAGTTATCAAATGGATTATAAATAGGAAATGTTTCTCCTTTGATTGCTCCTATCCACTTTCCATTTACATATGCTTGATCTCTCAAAAGATGCATGGATCGACTCATTAAAGAACCATAATATGAAATATTTCTTTGTACCACATATGTGCGGCACATATTTATACATAAATAATGTTTAGAAAACATTGGAACAATAACCTAAAACCAAATAGTTTATGAAAGATTACATTGGATATTTAAGATTAAAATACATAGGATATTTACCATTTAATAAGGATATAATATAAAATATGGATAAAAGATTTAAATATTAACTTATTTTTTAATATTATAATTGATATCAAATAAAAGTAATATTACAAAAAATTATATTATCTTATATATAAATAATTAATGTAGATATTGTCAAAGTGACACCTACCTTTGAATAGAAGAAAGTGACTTCTATATTTTATTTATTGTAATGTTCTTTAACTGATGACTATTTTCAAGCAACGTTACGAATCCACTTTATTAATTTTATCATAAATGACTTTATATAACCTGCCGCTACTTTATTCTGATTAAAGCTATACACGTATTTCAGCTTTGAATAGAAGAAAGTGACTTCTATATTTTATTTATTGTAATGTTCTTTAACTGATGACTATTTTCAAGCAACGTTACGAATCCACTTTATTAATTTTATCATAAATGACTTTATATAACCTGCCGCTACTTTATTCTGATTAAAGCTATACACGTACTTCAGCTTGTTTCTTGACATGTAACAGTATTGGTAGCCGGCGCGCCGGCGTCCTTCAGTCAATAAAATTATTATCGGATTTAACTGTTTACAATATCACATTGAACAAAAAAAACAGTATACAAACATTTTACACGTTATGAGTACGAATACGAAAAGAACTATTTATGTAGGTAAGTAGTAACTTATTATTATTAATATTAACTATAAATAATTAATGTAACCTATTTGTAACTTGATTTACGTATTTTGTTATTATTATTCATATTTAGGAGGTTTAGCTGAGGAGGTTGATGAAAAAGTATTACATGCAGCATTTATACCTTTTGGAGAAATTGTTGATGTACAAATACCATTAGATTATGAATCAGAGAAACATAGAGGATTTGCTTTCATTGAATTTGAAAGTGCAGAAGATGCAGCAGCAGCAATTGATAATATGGTATAAAACAATATTATTTATATAATTTATTTAAGATAGTTCTTTAATAAGGTTCTATATATAACATTTTATTTTTGTATAATTCTTTTATCCTTTTAATAAAAATAATTAAAAAATACATTATGCAAAAATTCAATGTAAAAAATTAATGTACATTGTATTTTTATTTATTATTATAAAATATATACAAACAGATTAAACATTAATTCCGTTTATTTAATCATTATAATATTAATCATTTTAAAAACATTGAATCCACAAATTTATCAATCTTTATCTTGGATAAATAGAATGATTCTGAGTTATTTGGACGAACAATCAGAGTAAACATTGCAAAGCCACAGAAAATAAAAGAAGGTTCATCGAAACCTGTGTGGGCTGATGATGTATGGTTACAAGAACATGCAGGTGAAACACTTAAAAATGATGATAATACAAAGTCAGGTGACACAGTACAAGCCAAAAAAGGAAAACAAAATCCACAAGTATATTTTGATATTAGTATTGGAAAACAAGAAGTTGGTAGAATTATTATGATGTTACGAGCTGACATTGTACCAAAAACTGCTGAAAATTTTCGTGCCCTTTGTACTCATGAAAAAGGATATGGTTATCAAGGAAGTACTTTACATAGAATTATTCCAGAATTTGTATCCTTTGTTTATTCCTTTATAAAATGAAAATTCTTTAATATATTTTTTATAGTATAAACAATATTAGATATGTATTCCTTATATAAATGTAGATGTGTCAAGGTGGAGATTTCACAAATCACAATGGAACAGGAGGTAAATCAATCTATGGAAACAAATTTGATGATGAAAATTTTGACTTAAAACACACAGGGCCTGGTACATTATCAATGGCAAACTCTGGTCCAAATACAAATGGATCACAATTTTTTATATGTACAGCACGCACAGATTGGTTAGATGGGAAACATGTGGTATTTGGACATGTTCTTAGTGGTTTAGATGTCTTAAAAAAAATAGAAAAATGTGGAACAAAATCAGGCACTCCTACACAAAAAGTTGTTATAACAGCTTGTGGAGAATTAACTTAAATAAATCGAAATGTTTATTAATTTATAACACTTGTAATGTATATTTTACATCAACCAAAAGTTATCAAATTTTAAATAATCAAATATATGTAAAAGTATGATTTAACACTACATCTTAATATTTACTTATTTAAAAATAATTTTTAAATAAATAATTTCCTCAAAGTTTACGAAAAATAAAAAAGATTAAATATATGAATGTATTATATAAAATTAAGATAAAGAATCAATTATCTAAGAAAATGAAAAATCTATGATTGTTCATTTTGTTATGGAATGTTATTTTTTAATTAAAATTCTGTTTTAAATAATCTTCTTACGATGATTGTTCTATAATTAACCTATTTTAAATATTGAATTTCAGATATATTTTATGATAACAAAATTAAATAAAGTAACATAATATTGTAGATCTCACACTTTTAATTGTTATCGAAATGATAAAATGCACTGTCATCATCATAATAATACTCGTAAAATTTATGCATAGTCATATTCGAACATTTCTTTACGCGAATCGCAACAAATTGAAGTAT